AAGGGGTGGAAAGAACATTCAAGTTGGTTCGAAGTCTGTGCTATTGGCCGGGAATGTTTGCAGACATTGAGGCTTTTTGTAAGACTTGTGAACGTTGTATTGTTTCTAAAGCACCACAGCCAAGGGTGGTTGCAGCGTTGGGGAGTCTGTTGGCTTTTAGGCCGCTGGAAGTAGTTGCAATGGACTTCACTGTGCTGGAACCATCGTCGGATGGACGAGAGAATATCTTGGTTTTTACCGATGTGTACTGGCTACTCGCCATATTTTCTCATGTTCGGGTGGGCTCCAGTGGTTCCGCTGGATGTCTGGCTGGGACAGGATAGATAGGATTTTGACGGTAATATGCATGAGTGGGTTGAGGAACATCAGGAGGTTGGGCTGTGCCTATGCTCGGGCTAGAAAGAACATGGAGCAGGCAGCGGAAGCTCGTAAAAGGTATGCAGGCACACCTGTAGGTGACCATCCTTTACAGCCAGGCCAATTTTTGTATGTAAGGAATCGTCAGTTTTCGGGTAGGCATACGATTCAGGATGTGTGGCTTCCCACCCCTCAGAGTCATAGCTCAGCTGGGTGGTGACCTGCCTGTGTATTCTGTGGTCCCGATTGATTTCTCGAAACCCCAACGCAATCTGAATAGACATGAGTTGCATGTTTGTGGTCCAGGCGTACAGATGGCAGGGCAGGAACCGGGGGACCGGGGAGTGGCTGGGTCCTCACTTCCTGATGTGGAGTCTGATTCGGACGACTCTCTGCCCCCGTCCAACTGTGGGCGAGGAGGGACTGAGTGCAGGCGAGAGTACACATGCCCTGCATTCACCACAGACACTGCCATCACCTGTGCCTTCGCCATCGCCTCCATTTCGGAGATCCAAGCGTGCTACTGCAGGGGTTCATTCTAACCCGCACTGGCTGCCGAGGTCTGTGGTAAGCCATCTAAGGGAGAAGGGAGTAGCTCCGGTAGGGGTGGCGCAGTTGCAGCAGACTTGCGTGGCGGTGCTGAAACAGGTTTTTTCAGGGTTAGCTGAAGGATTGGGGAAGGTTGATGTCGGATCTGGAGGGGACATATGCCATCAGTGGGACACTGAGTGATTATGGGGGGGTGGATGTAACCAAGTGGAACTGACGGGGTGAAACTATTGGGTCTGCCGGACCGGTAATGGGGTGCACGGGTCCTGATTAGGTGAAAAGATGCACCTGCTGGCAAATCGCGTCCTTTGTCTTTCTCTCCGCCGTCACGAGCGGGTGTGCTGAGTCTGCTCTCTGTCTCCACCACCACGAGTGGGGGGGGCCCCCGAGTCCAACTACTTGCTCTCCCGCAACAAGCGGAGACGTAGCGTGTGTTTGGGGGATGGCTGATTCAGGTAAAAACATTTACAGTGGAATGGTCTTTCTTTATGTATTTCGTGTGCTGGGGAAATTGGGTACACTTAAGAAAGATGTAATGTTGTATTTGTGTATTTTTAGAGCTTCCTGAGCAGTGCACCCAATGGTAGCTGGGGGGGAATCCAAGTGGGGTTGGCTGGGTTGCTGAACATTCGGTGGGTTGAAGTACAATCTTTTTGGGTTTGTTTTCATTGGCAGTTATTTGTGATTATTTATATTTTCGTTTTCATTTATTTTCTAGTTAGTGGGACGCTGCCTTGGTCTTTTGTTTTGTTTCTTTTGCTTTAAATTGTTTGTGATGCCGATCTTAGTGCATGGTCTGTGAACTCCTCCTGCACGCTAAACCTGCTGTCAATGGTTACTCCACTTAGTTATATTTGTACCAATAAAATATTTATATTTTCATAACACTGCTTCCTGTGTGTATGTGCCTTTACGGTGTTTTGAACCGGGTCTCTGGCAACGGGGTGCTACAATAGATAGTCCCCACTTTAGGTGAGGTCACACAAAACACTTTACTAACGACTAGTAACTACCTTAATTAATCATAAATTGCAGTATTAATACGCATTTATAAAGCATATATTAACATAGTCCCTAACCATAAATCATTATATATGTGTGTATATCTATCTATCTATATATACCTAAATAATCATTTACATAATCATTTACAACTGCTTAATAATTAGTTTGTAATATATATAATACTTCATTTACAAATGGGGAATCCATCATTTATAAAGTATGAAAACGCATAATAGACGAGCTTATTAATGAACAAAAAACATTTATAACTGTTGTGAATTGCATACTAATGAGTGTTAATGTAGGAACAATGCTTCATTGTGTGTAGTTATTATAAAGTGTTACCAATATTTTTATTGGATTGGATCGTCTGGACCTTTGGCAATGTAACGAGACCATTTTATGCGTTTTCACTTTGACCAGGCCAGTCTGACTGTATGTTATAGAGGGGCAAACAAGAAACATGGGAAGAGATGGGAATGACTCATAGGTTCCCGGCTGGAGATCAAGTGGGGATTGTTATTGTGTTTTGAAAATGGTGCAGTATTGAGGAAGTAGGCTGCAGACAGCAGTCGCTAAAAAAAGACGAATGTAATTCTATCCAGGCAACTTCTCACCGTGGGCTCCTGACAGAAGGTTCACAGGAGTTTTGGTGCCTTTTGAAAGTGTTTGGCCACTTTGACATTTTTGGAGGACGAAAAACCAACCTTGAGACTTTTCTATTACTCTTACTCGAGAGGTAAGTTCCACATTGTATGGTCCTTACAATTAAATTTGTTAACACTGCTTTGTAAAAATATTGATCGCTGCATATCCTAAACTGTCACAATCAGGCTTTGCCGTCTTTGTGTAGCTCCACACCCTCCTCACTCTACCTGTCAGCCACTCCCTCAGCACCAGCCTAACTCCCTTTACCTGCATCTGATCACTAATCAAGCGCTCCCTCATCAGCACAACTCCCCTCGCCTGTTCAAGCCACTATTTAAACCCCTGCCTCTGTCACTCACTGCCAGATCATTGCCATGTCTACCCGCCCGTTTGGCTTGTCCTGTTCCCGGTTTCCCAGTCTGCCTGCCCTGCCTCGTCCTGCTAGATTTCCCCCCTCATCTCTTGTCTCATCCGTGGATTCCCTGTGCGTTCTAAGTGTCCTGTCTGATTTAAGTTTTCATTAAATTCCTGCTTCACTCTACTTCTGGTCTGGTCTGCGTTTGAGTCCTCACCACACCCGTAACACTAAACTAAGTTATCATCACTTAATTTATATACAATCATTTTTAATCAATTTATTATAGGTCAAGAAAGTGTATCATGTGTAATATATTCTTAAATGTTTCACAGAAAAATGAGACCCAGAAGAGTTTTTCCTGAAAAAGAAGCCTTCATTGCTTATGGGGAAGATAAAGACATGTTTTAGAAAATAATCATCAGTGAGGAGAAAGAATATCTGTTAATACTGTATGTACATTGGTACAACATTTCATTACATAAACTCAGTTCAGTTGCCAGTGAATTATAAGGCAGGAAATGTTTTGTTAGTCTCTGCATTCTATTATAACTATAATTGAGGATATATTATAACTTTTACATGAAGCCATGAAAGGTGCAGCCCAAAAATAGTTTAAAGGCATAGTTTGACACTGGTAAATGCACCTATTGGCTTTCTTGTCAGGGTTAGATATAAAAACCAATGACACTCTCATATTTGTAGACTAAAAACAAAACCAGCAGGCTGAAGTAAAACAAAACAAAAAAGCATGATGCTCTGGTGTCCTAGTTGTTTTATAACTGTGGACAGAGCCAGGTTAGCTGTTTCCCCATTATTCCACTCTTTATGTGCAGCTAAATTTAGGCTGTTGTGTATAGAGAAGGGTATTGACCTTCTCATGTAACTCTCAGCAAGAAAGTTTTAAATGATGAATACTCTCTGCCATAATACATTGTGTACAGAGTTGTGATTAATTATATGGTTTTCTAGAGTAATTGTTTTCAAAGCAAGCCTTTTCTTAATCCAAACCCTTAAAGTAATGATGTATATATCGTCATCAAGTGTTATAATTGCTGAGATTATTAATTATTATTATTAGTTGGTTGTTCATGGTATGTGATGACGGTTGCAACATTTATTACACTTGTATTACACTGAATATAACATAATTAATGAATTAATTCCCTTTCATAATATATTACCCAGGTTATGGGGTAATTGCCACCGAAACCATTGAGCAGGGAGAATTCTTGCTTGAGTGTGTTGGAATACACATCACTGGTTTGGAAGGAGAGGCCCTTTTCAAAGAGTATTTTGATACAGATGCAGCATTTTTGTATTTCTTAAGTATTTAAGTACTTAAGTAGTATATTCTTAATTTAACCCTGGTTATTGGTTATGTTGTTCTCCTGCCTTCTGGGCATCCATTTAATTGAATACAGTGCCAAAACTAAACTTAATACATCCACTAAAGTTGATTATTTTGTTTAATACTTTGCTACATAAAAAAAAAAAATTGTTTCAAGAGACTTCTTTCTTCACTAAGTAGCCTGTTAATAGCCCCCCTACAGTCTGAAAGACAGGCTTGGGGCTGCAAGCCATTCACTTAATGGAGTGTTTAAAACGTGTATGAATGAGTCGTTAAAATCCCTGCTCCAGCCTGCAGGATCAGTGCCGAGCATGGACTTAAACACACACGGTCAAGTTCCCACTTGGCTAAAATTTAAAAAAACAAACGAGAGGGTTTTAGACATGATTTTAGCTTGATTTAAAGCATGACCATCAGGGGACCTAAAAAATGTCCCCCGTTTGCAATGCCGTCCCATGTTGTACTGTGTAACGACACCTAAGTCCACTGTTAATAGGTAGGTGTAAGTGCACACACGTGCATACACCAACATCAAATGAACACAACCCCTGACTCTTTGTTCTTTGACTAAACGGTTGTAATTGTCATTTATTCATTGTTTTTTTCATCTTTTTGTTCTCATTTGTCTCGTAATAAAGGAGATCACTGGTGCCATAAAATGTCTTGATCAGGAGCACAAAAATGCTAGTAGCCATAAAATTGTCTGATATTCTGGCCAAGAAAATACTTTGATACCTGTTGGTCTATTGAACTAAGGAGCTCTCTGACCATGGAGAGAGCCTGGGCCAGAGAGGAGGCTTCTTCTTCATCATCTGGAAGAGAAAAAAAAAACATGACTGTGGAGGTACAACAACCTAAGGCAACAGACAGTGCAGAAAGATTAATGTTAAGCCACTGTTGACATTCATCAATGTCAACCCTTAAACTCATAGACAGACAGAAAGTTCTCCTCCATGAATCTACTATCATAGAACCAGCAGATCTAATATTTCTCTCATAAAGATATTGCACAACTTAATTTTGCTTTTTATCTGTGCAGTGTAGCCTCCACTGAATCAATCAAATATCATTTAACAAGGAAGCTGCAATAATGATTTGTACTACTTTATAATAGACGACAAATGAGAAGATTGGAAGGAGCTGATTGGCTGGCCTGAAATCCATGTTGCCATGATGCCAACGGTTAGACACAGGTAGAAAACATCTCATTTGTAAAAGTAAAGCAATTTATGTTTTATATATTACTATTCTTAAGTATTGTAATACAGGCCCGTGTTGTGAGCAGAACCATGTTGGAGACTGTCATAGTGAAAACGCTAATTAAGTATGCGTTGGCACTGATGTATTAGGTGTGCTTCAAAGTGACTTATGTGGCGGAGAGTCATGTTGAAGCACTCTGCACACAGCCCAGAGGATAATCCTGCAAAAATCATTTTTATTTATTTTATTTCATGTAGAATAGTTAAAAGTGCAAACGGTAAATAAACCTGAAGGATTTTACATGGGGTAGCTTAGTGGCATCATTGTCATAACAGAGCCAGAAATAAAGTCAAAGTTCAGGGTAAATCTCATCACACGTCTCAAGACTATAGCTTTTATTATTCACCCCAATAGTTTAAGAAACCTTTATTTAAATAAATAAATTGATAATATAATGAATCATTATATACAAATAATTCAGTGTTTGCGCCCATTGGCAGTTTATTCACCATCAGTTGTGGGAACGTGGCCAAAATATGACTTTATAACAGTAATTTATTTATTTAATTTAGCTCTCCTTAATTTGATCGCTGAAGCAAACCTGTTGAAAACGCACAACCTTTACTCTGAAGGCGAGCCGCCTCTGTTTCCGACTCTCAACTTCCTTTTCATTATTAAATTTTGATAATGGAACAAGCTGACATTTTGGCGCGCTTAATTGCATTGCACGTGTTTATTCAATGCAACAATAACACAGGCCAAGCATTAATCGCCTTGAGGCAGCATCGGCTATCGAACAACAAACTCACACGTAGCAGAATACATTTACATGAACACAAGTAGACCAATGAGATTAGGTAATACTCCTAAACTGACATTGTTCATTATTAAACAACGTGAACAATGGCAAATTAATTCAACTTCGTTCACGGACCACATGCCTAGTGTTGCCTGATTTGACTTTGCCATAGATTATAAACCTATTATGATTGGGATTATTCACCAGTGGTATTATCCAGAATGCGCTGAACAAGGACAGGATACTTGGAGATCCGCTGAGTCACCAACAAGATGCACTCCTGAACACCATGGCAACGTAGCAGGGGTCCGCGACTCACCCGCTGCCCAGTGACAGAGAGAGAGAGACACACACTGACAAAACTACCATGGCTGACTTTTTTTCATTTAGTTTGAAAGGCAACCTTGAGGATGAGACCACTGTCTTGTAACATACATAAAATAAGGCAAATGTACTGACTGGAAATACCTGAATCAAAATCTTCTATACATACTTCTCTATTTATGGCAAGAATGTCAGATTAGCTACCACTGAAGAGGAGAAGCAGTTTACATTACATAACAGTCATTTAACAGACGCTTTTATCCAAAGCGACTTACAATTCAGAGTCTATCACATTTCACAACTACGGGAGCAATTTGGGATTAAGTGTTTTGCTCAAGGACACATCGACATGCGACTAGCAGAGCCAGAGCCGGGGATTGAGCCGCCAACCCTCTGATTGAAAGACGGCCATCCTATCCACTTAGCCACAGTCGCCCTGTGTTTACTGCATTTACCAGTTTACTGCCTAATCTTCAGTTTACCTCTTCTGTGCTCAACTCAATCAACAGCCACCTGCCGGATACTACGAGTATGTGTGGACTGACAAAGGCCCCTGTTCTATTCCAATCTCTAGTGAGCATTAGTGACATTATCTTTGTTTTGGTTTACTTTGATGGCATTTAACCATAGCCTGTATGTACGAAGTAGACAGTCATGTGACATCACCCATTGATTTGTGAACTCTGGTTTTGAAGCCTTGAGTTTTGCATTTTGGTCAACGCCATCTTGGTTTTTGGCCACATCTGTTTTTTGCAAGCAAAAGTGACACGAGAGGGTGGAGCTGAATACAACACTGAATATGACACATTTAGGTGACAGAAATGTTTCAGTTAACTTTTGTGAACTGAAAAGACAACCTGCTTTATGATCTATAATACTTTAGGACGATAATTTACTAAATGAACACTGTGCTGTATTGAAGAGACTTCAAACTAACAATTGAGGATATAAACTCATGCAATACAATGTTTACTGAGGTAATAAATAAAATAAAGAAGTAGGGACCTTTTCTAATAGACTTCTATACTTATATGCTCTTTACTAAACTCAATCTATACTTGCAACCAGAGGAGTTAGAAAGAATGCAAATTTTCAGAAACGGAGATGGTCGCCTGCATTTATGAATTGAGAATACCCTGTGTTGTTCATCAAGGCAGAAAAATGTGAGTTTCCTGTGTCTATTGTATTGTTCCCAGGTTCATTGTGTCACAAAGTGCACACCCTGACCTTTCCTAACCCAGTTTGTCAGTTCATGGTGGAAGTGGATAGGTCAGATGTTGGGGTGGGAGCGATCCTGCCCCATCATCAATGACCACAAACATCCCCTTATGCCATCTTCTCCTAACAGCTCTTCCCCATATAGAGAAACAATGCCATCAACAACTACCTGCTTGCAATTAAACTTAACTTAAGATATTTCATGTAGGAAGCAGAGTAGCCTTTCCTGAAGTGGACTGATTGTAAGAACCTTTAAAACAACCAAGCATCTGAACTCCTTGCAAGTTAGGTGGGCCCTATTCTTCAACCAGTTCAACCTCAACTTGTCTTATCCCCCAAAGCTTTATATGACCTATTTGTCACTTCCAGGCCTGCAGAGATCCTGCCTGCCTCCTGCACTGTGCTCCTTCCAGGGACATCAATCATAAGGTGAAGTAATCACACCATCAAGATGTTCCAGTGGGGAAAGGCTTCCCACGTTGTAGTAGTTTTCCCAAATTTAAACCAAAAAGTTGCATGAGTATCACACCCCACAAAGGATACAGGCAAACAGAATACAGATACTTTACCCCCAGTTATTTTTTTCGACACACAGATTCATAAATAAGGGCAGAATAGTCAAATCAAATGAACTCAACCACACCACAATTTCAATATTTAAATGTTATATTAAAGCAAAAGAAAACATGCTTGTTTATAATTCAGTCCAGTTCCTCTGCATCAGTTCAGTTTATAAAAGAAACACAAAATTCCTTTTGCCAGTACAACTCACTTCAGGTAATTAAAAAAAAAATACTCCACTTTGGGATTTGCAGGTGGCCAGCTCACAAACCATAAGAATCAACAAACTGTGCAAGCCCCTTTCCGCCACTGTGATGAAAAAATAAAGATCCTGTAAGTTAGAATGAGAAACTTTCTCATAATTATGACTTACTATCTCATAATTATCACTTAGCATCTCATAAATATGACTTAGCATCTCATAATTATGACTTAGCATCTCATAATTAGGACTTTGGAAGGTACCTTCTCCTCTCTCTCTCTCTGGCTCTGCAGTAGCACCGAGATCAAAAATTGGCTGATGGTATGCCACTGTGGTTCAGCGGCATATGCCGATCACTGGAGTGGTTTGCCGCTGTGTACCTTGTATTGCCTAATGGTATATTATGTGTTAATAACGCAAGGTGCCGTTTGAAAGTGGAATGGTCGAACACGACCACACATTATATTAATGTCGCAGAATATTTGAAGAGGCATACATGGTATATTATGTATTATTCATCATAAATACTTTAAATGAGTAAAGTGTTATGGTGTGTTTCTCTATTTAAGGCAGATCACTCAGGTCAAGCCGCACAAAAAGCATACCACTATGATTCAACGACATTTCACTGGCGGCATACCACTCCAGTCTAGTGGCATTTACCATTAAGTGCCGCCCCACTATTGCACATAAGCTGTTTTCTACCGACATAGATGTGATTGGCATATACGTTGGGGTATTTTTCTCTCCATGATCTATTGGATTGTCTAAAATGACAATTTGTGTTGATTACATGAAAAATAGTATGGCATGGCTCAAGTCTGCAGTAGTAGGTTCCTAAACATGCCAGAAGGGGGCACTGTAGAATTACAGACCAGAGGTGACAACATTATGTCTATAGTTCTATAGTGCCCCCTTCTGGCAGTTATAGGAACATACCACTGCAGACTCGAGCCATGCTGAAATATACAGTGAAACTATCTGTCTCGGTAGAAAACTGCTTATAAATGATAAATGGACTGTCCTTGTACGCTTTTCTAGTCTTCGGACCACTCAAGTGCTTTAACACTACATGTCATCATTCACCCATTCACACCCATTCATATACTGATGACAGCAGTGGCGGGCCATGCATTTTATACCTGGGCCTTCACTGCTGTCCTGCAGCTGAAACACAGCTACGGTCATTATTTGTTTCGTGTAAAAATGAAGCCAACACCTATCTGCAGAGAATACGCCGGGAGTGCGTCTCCTCTCTGCTCTGACTGCAGCTGGGACTGCTGCGCGAGTTATCGCCTGTGAGCTTTGGGGCGGAGGAGGGGCAGCACCCGCTGCTCGTTCACGACAGTAACTGTAGAACGGTAGTCCTTTAACGTCACAAAAGTCTCCAATAACACCAGAACAAGTCGCCAGATTTGTCACTAGTAGCTTTTGACAAAAAAAGTAGCCATGAGGGTTTAGAAAGTCACCAGATTTAGCGGGAAAGTCGCCAAGTTGCCAACACACAGAGGTGAAATCTGATTGGATAAAAGCTCTACTTAAAACAAGCTGCACTGGAAGCAGAGCAACTGAGGAAGACAGTAGCTGTGCAATGAGAAAATAAGATGATGGGAAAAATATTTTTATAAATTATAATACATGTAGTGTATTTAAGGAAAAATATTAAATTATAAAATAGCTATAACTTTGTGATTCTGTTTAGGCCAGCAGAGAAGGCATTGCAGGCCCTGACAGCCCACCACTGGATGACAGGGGCTAACATGCAAGGAGCCACCTGCCCATCAGGACTATCTAACATACATACAACATTCACACACTGAAGGCACATCTACGGGAGCAATTTGGGGTCAAGTGTCTTGCCCAAGGACACATCGACATGGACTAGCGGAGCCGATCCTCTGACAACCCTGCTCTAATCAGCCACAGTAGAGCCCCCTTATAAGCCAATAGTAGGGCGTCACTTAACTTACTAAATAGAACGAGAACAGGAACTTACTCATGAAACAATAACTGTTCACAGAAACAAGTTAAACCTGAACTTAATGAATAGAACGAGAACATGAACTTACTGACATAATCCAGTTGACCTGAATTTACTGGTACTTTACTATAGAGAGAGAATTAGAACTTACTAATAAAACAAGACCCATTATTGCAGGTACACAAACTATGTAGAAATGCACCAGGAGGAGAAACCTCTGCTTCCTGCCTGTTCCTTAAATTGTCTCCAGTCATGGCTGCCTTGCCATGGATGGTCCCCTCCACCACATCTAGTTCCACTAAGTCCCCTTTTATAAGGATATGTTGTGGAGGCACAGATGTTTTATGTAACTGCATAATGTTAATTAAAGTTCAACTTAAATTAATTTTAGTGCTATATGAATGCTTTATAAAGCTTTTCATTCATTGTTTTTCATTTATTGTTTTTACTTTAAAAAAAAGAAGATTGTACCACTTTGCTGCTTGTTTTCCCTATCTGCTGCTCAGCAGTTTATGCTCTAAACCTGACTACCACACATCTGGCCTTGGCTTGATGCCTTTTCTGAACTGGGTTTTGTTCCGGCTCCTCGTATGGGGTCATCACGTTGATGGGTGTGGCCATGCATGGATAACCTCTATCCCCAATGATGAACCAGCCAAAAGGTGTTTAGAGCTGCTGTACATAAATGGAGCCCCACCAGGAAAAGAAAAGTACGACTTTAATTTTTAATTGGCATGTTGAAGAATGGATTGTTAAAAATACCTTCTGAGACAAACAGCTTGTCTTGTTAGAAATGTACTTATGATTATGGATTATCTTTGAAATCGAATGCCTCCGACACCACACGATAGGAAGTGGTACCAGCCAGCCAGGTGTAGCGACAGGATGTTAAAAGTTAACTATCGATCTATAGTGGGCAGTTTTGACTACAGCCATCACCTTCAGAAGCTGATTTTGATTTTCCGTTACGGTATGAGTTTGCCAGTGTTAGCGAGAATTCCCCAAAAAATATAAACAGTTTAATTCTACTAAAAATTGGGCAAGAGACGCCAAAAAACAGCTGGGACAAACCACGAAAAAAGCAGGTGGCAACCTCCGGCTCTCAAAAGTGAAGCCAGAGCTGGTGTCTTAAACCTGCATTCTCTCGTATAGCACTCAGTTAATATAGAAGTCTATGAGAAAATGACTCTACTTCGCTCCAGATTTATTACCTCAGTAAACATTGTAAACATGAGTTTATGGTCTCAGTCTCTAGTTTCAAGTCTTCTTCAATACAGCATGATGTTCATTTAGTAAATTATGGTCCATTTAGAGTCAAACAGACCATAAAGCTGAGTATGCTTTAGGGCGTGGCTACATTGTGATTGACAGGTTGCTACCATGGATTGTCTAGCCTGGGAGTTGTCCCTGTTTTCTTCTGACAACTTTAACTCTTTCAACTAATGAAAATGAATTGTAAATGGTCTTGATCAGTGCTTGGTTGTTCCTAACTCCACCATCTTGTGTCACTCCTGGTTCCGAAAACCAAGATGGCGATGGTCAAAGCGCCAAACTCGAGGCTTCAAAACCGTTGTCAACTCACCTATGGGTGACATCACATGTTCTCATACCAACTGGTATACATTCTGACACTTGGTCTGGACCCTTGGCGTCCCTTTCTAACACATCAAAGTATGACATAGTATAATTATTCATGTTTGTTGACCTCCACTCATTCGTCTCACACGGACAATCAAGGGTGCCTTGCGCATCGGTATCAGACGCCAGGGGGTGGGACAAAGCGACAGTATTTGGCCCTGATACTGAGAATGGGCTGACTTCTTGTATACAGTCTATAAAAAAATAGGCAGGCCCAACATTTAGGCGGGCCCAACATCAAATAATGCAAGCATCGTTATTTGATGCATTGGTTTGAGAATGTGTTGCGGCCCTTGAAGAATTTAACATTATTTTATATTTTTCTAAATGTTGGGCCTGCCTATTTTTCAGTGGCTTCAAGCTGCAAACTATGACACTCTATGTAAAGACTGTGGTTGACGTTAACTTGACTAACTACACTCGCAAGTCACTTGACTAACAACTGACGTGACAAAATATCAACTTTACTTTTAGTTTCACACAGAAACAGGAGTAGCGGCCTTCAAGATGATAAATGTGTTTGCTTGACTTATCCACTTCCCCTCCTTCCACCCTGTCAGAATCAGAATCAGAACCGTATATTGCCAATGTATGTTTCACATACAAGGAATTTGTCATGGCGGGTGGTGCATAACATTAGACAATAACATTAAACAATGACATTAAACAATCAACAACAATCAACACAGTGCAAGAAATAGAAACATATTAAAATGTACAATAGAATATAGAAGAATATAAAATAAAGTGCATAACAAACAGATAACAGTACTTTAAACAAGTGTAATGTAAGTATAATGTAAAAGTGACAAGTGTATTTAAATATGAAGGGATGTGCAGGGGAGTGACCGGTAGGAAATTGTCCTGGGGATGACAGAGTCAGTGGGGGTCCCGGGCTCTGTTAATGAGCCCGACTGCAGAAGGGAAGAAACTGTTCGTGTGGCGTGAGGTCTTGGTCCTGATGGGCCGCAGCCTCCTACCAGATGGAAGGGGCACGAACAGTTTGTGTCCAGGATGAGAGGGGTCGGCTACAATCTTTCTTGCTCGCTTCAGGGTCCTTTAAGTGAACAAGTCCTGGAGGGACGGCAGATTGTAGCCAATCACCCTCTCGGCAGAGCGAATGTGTCACGGTTTAGGCTTTGGCCCCTGTGTCTGTGTGTTTCCCCTGATTGCACTCATCCTACTCACCTGCCCAGTCCACCCAGCTGCCTTCAATCTTCTCATCACCCAACACATATATACTCCCCTGCTTTGGTTGTCAAATCATCTTTGTTCGTTCCCCTGTCTGTTCCAGCATTGTGTCTCCCTCGTGTCTGCTGTGCTCCAGCGTTTGGTCCTCGTGTTTGCTCCTGGTTTGTACCTTTGCCTTTTTTTGTTACTTTGCCTTTTTTTATGACTTGGCCTTTTTTTCAGTTTTGCTCGCTCCCTGTTGGAGTCGCTTTAAGTTTTTGTTTATTTCTCTTTTAATGACCAGTAAAGATTCTTATTTCTAAACTTCACCTCCTCTCCAGTGTTTCTGTCTGCGATTGAGTCTCTGATCTGCCCCTCGGACGTAACAGAACGATCTGACCATGAAAGACTCAGCAGACCAGTTTTGGGGAACCCGCTTGGCCAGGGGAGGGCCTCGGAGCTTCCAGAAAGCTAACCCCGAGCTAAGCCACCCTTCCACCTATAAGAGGACAAAAATGGACTCAACAGACCACTGTTTGGTGTGCTTTTCCCCAGAGTGGTATGAACAGTTTATGGGATATCGCCTTGTCCAGAAGGTGAACCGTGATGTGTTGGACTCAGCGGACCAACATTTTGAGTGCTTTTCTGCTGAGTGGTATGAACAGTTTACGGGAACCCGCCTGGCCTTGGGAGGGCCTCATGGTTTGCCATCTGACTCCAGCTCCCAGTGTCCGGTTGGAGGTCCGACCGACTCCGTATGGAGCTACCGCTGCAGTGAGTTCCAGTTCCTGTTCCTGCCGCCTCAGTTCCGCAGTGAGTTCCAGTTCCTGTTCCTGCCGCCTCGGCGCCGCAGCGAGTTCCAGTTCCTAGCGCCGCAGCTATCCCCAGAACCGGATGCCGCCGCCTCAGCGCCGCGGCTATCCCCGGAACCGGCCGCCGCCGTCTCCGAGCGACAGGGACCTCCAGTTCCAGCCGCCGCCGTCTCCGAGCGGCAGTGACCTCCAGTTCCAGCCGCCGCCGTCTCCGAGCGGCATCAACCTCCAGGTCCAGCCCCCGCCGCCGCCACCCAAGAGCCGCTGCGACCTCCAGTTCCTGCCGCCGCCGAACCGCAGCGACCTCCAGTTCCGGACTCTGCCTCTGAGCCACAGCGGTTTCCAGTTCCTGACCCCGCTGCCGAATGCCAGCGATCATCTGTTCCTGACCATTTAATGAACTGTCTGTATTTGGGGAGTTCATGGCAGAGGTTTCCTTTGTTAAAGTCTCCAAGGACAATAACTAAAGATGTGTCCGCTCCACACACTGTATCTGTTCGGCGAGTGTCCGCTGTGCTTCCTGCACGTTGCCCTGCAGCGGCATGTAAACACCGACCAGTATGAATGAAGCGAACTCACGTGGGGAGTAAAAGAGTTTACAGTTTATGATGAACGATTCCAGATCAGGAGAACAGTGCTGTATAATCACTTTCACGTCGTTGCACCAGCCACTGTTGGAGTAGAAACGGATTCCTATATCTTTCGATTTGCTGGAGAGCTCCGTGTCGCGGTCCGCTCTGAACAGCTGGAAGCCAGCCAGCTGGAGCGCGGAGTCGGGAATCGATCCACAGAGCCAGGTCTCAGTGAAGCACAAAATGGAGGATGAAGTAAAGTTTCTGTCTCTCCCCACCAGTAGCTGAAGTTCGTCCAGTTTGTTGCACAGTGAGCGGACGTTGGAGAGAAATATGCCCGGCAGCGGTGTGCAAAATCCATGTGTACAGAGACGCACAAGCGCGCCGGCACATTTCCCTCTCCTACGGCTCTTCACTGCATGAGTTAAGGTGAGCATATCTTTGACGAGAACGTCCAGTAATTCCACAGAAGTTAACAGAAACGTTGGAAGTAAGTACGCTGGAGTTGTTCCCCTGATGTTTATGAGCTCATCTTTGGTGAAAGAGCTCCGGGAATCGCAGTAGAAAACAGTATTTACAACAAAAACAATGAGCACTCATTTATAATGCTGTCTATTTTGATGTTTTTAATGTTTTTGTGCCTGTCTCACCCGTATGAAGCACTGTAACTTCTTGTCTCTGGCCAGCAGTTCCTTGTACAATTTGACAGCCTTCAAGTGGCGGCTACAGAACTCGGCGTAGGTCTTCCGCATCTCATCTGCACACTGGCCTGAGAACTGGCAGACAACATGCACAAGTTAATTTGTCTGTGAACATGAGTGTAAAGTCACTGTTCAGACCTCTGCTACGAAGCGGGATTTGGGCTTAGCGAGGTAACTTCAGGGTCGAGAGACAAGAGATCAACTGTATAAAAGCATTGCCTACTGACCAATCAAAGCTTGGTACGTGGAAGGTTCGATTAGATTGATCTACTGTACATGTAATGATAGTCAGATCTATCATGCTCTATATGAAGCAGTTATATTATAAATCAGTTATATTATTTATTAATGAAGTTATATTATTACTTTACACATTCACATCCATCCTGCATTAGTCATTAGTGTTACTTTCAGCCTGTTTGTCTTCTTTGTATTTCCCCCCTATTATAGTTGTCTCTTGATTTGTAAAATGCACCGCTCTTCTCACAGACTTGTCCATGTTTGTGATTGGTAATATGCTGCATCACCGCCCTTTCAGCAAATATTTTTATGAAAAATAACAACTGAATAGCAATAGCACAAAAATCATGATTTAAAAAAAGCTAATATAAAATATTATTATAAATATATCATCTTTGTGGTTATATGAGCAATTAATTGCAAATATTAACTTCAATATAACGAATAAAATAACATGAAGACAGTTCCTGTCATTAAATATCTATTACTAAGAAAAAAATGATATACAGATGTCTTTGTGAACATGCGTTCAACTCATGTTGGACTCATTCATTACTGTTATGACACTAGTCTCGATTGTAGTTAGAAACTTCTGCCAAACTATAGAATTACACAACTACTTAATGTAATGACCAAATACAGTTACATTTTGGTTTCAGTTCTGTGTCACTCTGAATGGTTGTGAAAATGCATGGCAGCCACCTGCTCTAGTAGTATGTCCCCCAGCTGGTGAATGGTGAAGTTGCGGCTGGATCCAGAGTGCAGGCTGCTGTTGCGGCGCAGGAGAAGCTGTGCCAGGAAATGGGAATGTATCCTGATCAGCTGGTCCAGGCAGGGGAACATGGCATACACGGTGCACAGGTCCAGCTGAAGCTCCTCCAGCATGCCTTGCCGGAACACCCTCTCCATGATATGCAGCGTTCGCATGTGATGCAGCTCTGTCTGAATCAGCTCTGAGAGGGACACACACACTTCAAGGTCCTGTATCATGTAGCAGTCATGCAGTACAGAAAGAAATGAAAGAAATTAAACTTGACATTATTGTATTATGTCTAGCTACCATGTAAATACCATCTATGTACATGTAGTACTTTCATCTAGCTACTGTATATTCAGCAATACATAAAATGTCTGGGTTAAAAAAATGAAAGCAAAATCAACTGCAATTGTCACCATAGATGACATCCTGCCTCTTGATGACATTTTTGCGGTGTGCCTGCAAGTAGCTGCTATCCACAGCCATGCTCCATGAGTCAGCCTTAAAGTCCTGGCCTTCCAGTTCCAGATCCTCCAATACTGCAGTATAGTAGATGTCTCCTAAATAAGAGAAACCCATCAACATCAAAGATCACAGGCTGAAAAAATGATTTTAGAGCTCTAATCTTTCAAGGAATGAAAATACTTCTGTATCTTTCACATGTTTGTAAGAAGAACCAATGTCAGCAGATCATGCTGCAAGTCCAACTGAAATTACAATCTATTATCCCCTTTTGGAATGTGACTAAGTACATGAACTCAAGTATCTTTTAAGCCCAGTATTACTTGAATATTTTCATTTAATAATACTTCATACTTCTATTCCACTACATGTCTGAGGGAAATATTAAGCTTTTTTACTCCACTACATTTATTTGACACTTATAGCTACTACTGGTTCATTTTCAGATTAAGATTTTTTGATGCTAAAATATGTTGATCTTATAAAATATGATGCAGTGCTATGACAACTAGTAGTTTACTGTAAAGTACAAACTATAATGTTGCTTACATGTATTCATAGGATATACCTAAAAAATAACATGCCACTGAAGGAGAAGGTACTTTTGATACTACTGCTTTCAAAGAATTTAGGACTTTCATATTTAGGTCCCTGTATATATACAGCCATTTACTTTGACCTTAGTCACTTCTCACAAATCGGTCATATAACCATCTACTGACCTAAATCATTCATCTCATGCAGCCATGTACTGTACATAAAAATGATGTTCCCATACAGCGAATTGTCAATTACATTTCTAGAGAAATATATTTTCTCCCAGATTGCATTCTTTTTTACGTACAACAAATATGTTTATAATCATAGTGCGCGCAAGTCTGCATAGAGAGGAAATGGAGGCGGACAGGTAGGAAACACAGGACTTTCACCCAGGAGACCACTGTTTGTGTCCTGTGTGTAACTAAAGGTTAATGTTAACTTATTTAAATTTACGTTCATAACCGAAATATTGTAACAAATGTACTTATTTTAAGCTTAACCATGATGTTTTTACTAAACCTAACCACATTTTTTTTTTTGCGCTAATTAAGCTTTGGTCAAACAAACAGGAGCGATCTTGGCCCTATCCACTTCTATGGTAAGTAGCTAGCAGAATAGCGAATTAGCTGGCTTTGTTGATGTATGTGAAGGTCTGTGTTCAAACTTTTAAAAAGGAATTAATTGAAATTACATCATACATTTACTCGTTAACCAAACACCACCCGTTCACAGCATTTGAATCAATAATTTTGCTGCAATGAAGCTAACGGAGGCATTTGACATGTTGGATATTTTGATAAAAATAATGTAGTTATAATGTTTAGGGGAAACTAAATGTTGGAAATGTGTTGCCTGTATTTCTTAAACTTGTACAGCAGTTTTCAGGAAGGAGTGTGGCCTAGCTGTCACAGTCTCGGTTTTGGTTTAGTTTGTTTCCTGTTTTATTTTGAATTCCCCTGCCTGTTGTGTCCCTTGTTCACTTCACTTGCTGCCTTTGTATGTTTTCCCGCCTGTGTGATGTCTGCCCCGCCCCTAATTGAATCCTCCTGTGTCTAATCACCTGCACCTCCCCAGTGTGTTTTCTGGGGAGGGTTCTCCCCACCCTGTTTTCTCTGGTGGGAGAGGAGGATGGAAGAAGGGAGAGAACAGGGGGGGTGAGGGAAGTTTGAATGGGAGTCAAAAATAATAAGAGAAGCTTGTAGGGAAACAGCTCTGATGAAGGAAATAGAGTTGTTCGAAGGAAGATTGTGAGGGAGGAATTTAAAATGATCCTTAAATTCAGAAAGGACAATGAGCATGTCGGTCTTAGCCCGATAGCTCTGTCTAGGGAATTGAGAAAGATTGGAGAAGTGGAAATGGCTAAAGTCTTGAGGGACGGAAGGTTATTGATAATATATAAAACGGAAGAACAGAAAAACAATGCTATGGATATAAAGTATCTGTAAGAAAATGATAAGTGAAAAAAGATCTGTGGGTGAGAATCGAGTGACACAAGGAGTGATAACAGGTATTCCTTAGACGAGGACCTCAAAAAACTCTAACGGAGTATTTATGGAGGAGAAGTGGGCAGAATGAAGAGGTTGCTAAGAACAGTTAATGGAGAAAGGGTTGATATCTGTTCTTATTGAGTTTCAGAACTCCATACTTCCTGAAAGAGTCAAAATCGGATGTATGAGTTTCCCAGTGAGGCCCCAGGAGGGACTCCCCCACTTCGCTGCTACAAATGCCAGAGGTATGGACATATAGCAGCAGTTTGCAAAGGGAAACAGAGATATCCTAAGTGTGGAGCGGATCACAGAGTGGAGGAATGTAAGGATAATTTGCAGGATAAATGCTGTAATGGTGGTGGCCATCACAGGGTAACATATGGTGGATGCGAAGTCAGGATGAGGGCTGTGAAAATCCAACAGGTAAAAGCAGGAAATAACATAAGCTATGCAAAGACTGTGAAGAGGGTACAAGGACAAAGAGTAATGAATGAAACACCTAACCAAGTTTTGAGAGAGAGAGACAAGTCTGTCGGAGGAAACCAATACAGCATAAGTTGGATAAATGAATACGTTTATAAATGAATCCTGGATAAATTAATCCTGTTTATTGCATATGTAATAAATTGTACTGACCAAGTCAAACACAAAACAGAGAAAATCAAAATAATAGTTAGGGGAGCTGAGAGTTTTTTGGGGATAAAAGATGTATCTTGTGAGCATATCTATAAAAGACTCTGAGAAGATGGGAAGCTAGGAGGCCCTGGGGATAGGACAGTATGATTGTACTACAATGGAACGCAAGAAGCTTATTAGCAAATGGCCAAGAGTTTAAATAATTCCTTAAAAAGAAACCAGAAATCATATGTGTTCAGGAACAACATTAGACTTTGTCATTAAAGGATATGATAGTATTTGCAGAGATAGAGTGGGGGAAATGGAGGAGGGTGTATAATATTTGTAAAACAAGGAATACAGTTTAAAGTTTTGGAGAAAGGAACAGAGCTGGAATATGTGATAATTGAAGTTTAGACAAGAGAAGGAACTATTAGAATTGCAAACTATTACAACCCATGTAAGAGACTTTCAATCAATTTAGGAATTAGGTGAATTAGCTGTACTGTTAGAAGGGAAAGTGATATGTTGTGGAGATTTTAATGCTCATAGCTCATTATGGGGTTATAGTAATGATGACAATGGAATGACAGAAGAATTAATGAACATAAAAATGAAAGTTACGAATGTAACTACGGTTCTATGAATCCTGGATGACCGCCAGAGGCAGTGCTTAACACTGGATATCTTCCGTCTCGCGCATGCGCAGGTCGAATATTTATACCAACAAAGTCACCTGTGACCTCGGATGACCCCCGTCGTCTATAAGTTCCGGTGTCATCCTGAGTTCAGTCCTATGGAATCTTCTCGCGAGTTCACGGGATTCCGAGTGACCAAGAACTCTGGCGGTCATCCAGGATTCATAGAACCGTAGTTACATTCGTAACTTTCGTTCTATTTCATCCTTACTGACCGCCAGAGGCAGTGCTTAACACTGGATGACTTATACCAAAAGAGTCACGAGGAATCACAAGTACCCACCTCATATAGCTCAGGCAGAGGAAGCTGGCCAAAGAACCCTCCCCAGTGGGTGAGGGGTGGCAACGTTCAGTCTGTAGTGTCTGGTGAATGTGCTCGGTGATGCCCATGAGGCCGCAGCACATATGTCTCCACGTCATGGGCACACCTCTCAGGGCTGCCCATGACGTGGAGACACTCCTGGTAGAGTGGCCCCTCACTCCGGATGGTAGAGGACGGTCGCTCGCCTTGTATGCATGGGCAATGGCCTCCACTATCCAGTGGGACAGGCGCTGTTTTGAAAGAGCACAGCCCTTCCTAGGCCCACCATAACTGATAAAGAGCTGCTCCGACCGCCGTATGCAAGCGGTGGCTTCCACATAAGCTCTGAGGGCCCACACTGGGCACAGCAGCCTTGACCTCTCCTCTCCCGATGGGGGGTCAAACTCTGCATAGGCTGGTTGATATGCGAGCGTGACAGCCCATTGGGTGAAACGCTGCATTAGGCCACAAAGTAACCCCCGATCCATCTGAGTTCCACCTCAGACACGATTCACTCACTGACAGGGCATGCAGCTCGCCTACACGTTTAGCTGAAGTGATGGCAAGGAGAAACACCATTTTGGTTGCCAGCCATCTCGGCTCTGCCCATGCCAGGGGTTCAAAAGGAGGCAAGCATAGGGTGTCCAATACCAAATGTAGGTCCCATGCAGGGGCCTTCGGGGCGTTCGGGGGACACAATCGCAGAGCCCCTTTTAGGAAGAGGGACACCAGTCTGTGGCTCCCTACTGTGCCATTGTTGACCCTAGCATGGTGCCATGAAAGAGCGGCCACGTATACCCTCAGGGTAGAGGGAGACCGGCCCTTATCTAGGAGGGACAGTACAACAGGCACTGCACCGGCTCCTTGTTCCGAACCACACACCAGTCAGAAAACAGCCTCCACCTGTTTTCGTACTGCAGACGGGTAGATGGTGCCCTGGCATTCAGGATAGTTCTTCTGACTGGCTCTATGCAGCCAGTCAGCAGCTGGTCGGGCCCTCCAGCGGCCAGACCCATAGTTGGAGGTGGCTGGGATTGGGACGCCAAATTCGACCTCCTAGTTGCGACAGGAGGTCCCTCCTGTCGGGGAGGCACCATGGTGTCCTGCAGCGGAGTCTGTGCAGTAGGGAGAACCAAATCCTGGCTGGCTATAAGGGGGCTACTAGCAAGAGTCTGTGGCCCTGTTGAAGAACTCTGAGAAGTGTTGGCAAGATCAGAGGGAACGGTGGAAAGGCATAAAGAAGCCCCTCTCGCCACGTGTGAGCCAGGGCATCCTGACCCAGAGGACTGGTCCTCTCCGTCAGGGAGAACCAATGGGGACAGTGGGTCAACATCTCCGAGGCAAAGAGATCCACCTCTGCCCTGCCGAAGAGACCCCAAATGGTCTGCACTACATCTGGATGAAACCGCCACTCCCCCGGTGGAGGCTTGAGACGGGACAGGAAATCTGCGACCTGGTTCCGTTCCCCTGGTAGGTACAGTGCCCGAAGGCTGGTAAGGCGAGGGGCAGCCCAAGTCAGAAGGGCACAGGATACCGGTAGTAACTCTGCGGATCTGGTGCCCCCTTGATGGTTTATGTGAAACACCGCAGACGTGTTGTCCGACCGGACAAGCACATGCTTTCCCCTCAAGTATGGCAGAAAATATTTGAGCGCTAGGTGCACGGCCCGTAGCCCTAGAACATTGACATGCTCTATGCGGTCGTGAGCAGACCACTGCCCCTGAGCAGTCCTGTTCTGCCACACTGCACCCCATCCTGAGAGGCAGGCATCTGTTGTGACCACCTCTCGGCGGAATGGGACCAAACCCATGGGGACACCGTTTGCAAGGTATGCTCTCTCCCTCCATGGGGATAGAGCAAGTAGGCACTGCTCCGATACTACTATTGCCCTGTGTCTGTGCCACTTGGCATCCAAGTGAACCTGTTCAGCCATCTCTGCAAGGGGCACAGTGACAGCAAACCTAAGGGAACGACAGCTGAGGCAGCTGTCAGTTTGCCCAATAGGCGGAGAAAAAGAATGTAGGGCAACCGCCTGCCCCCTTGGAAGGGAGAGAGGCTGTGGAGGATGCTGTCCACCCATTGGGATGACAGACAGGCACTCATAGTGACTGTATCCAGAGCCACACCAATGAAGGTTATGCTCTGAGAAGGGCTCAGGGAGCTCTTCTCCATGTTCACCCTGAGGCCTGACCGGGCCACGTGAGAGAGAAGGCGAGCAGTGTCCTGTGCCGCCTGAAGCTGGGATGGCGCACAGATCAGCCAATTGTCCAAGTACAGCAGTATTTTAGCAACGCACCTTGTGAACACCCGTGGGGAGAGGGAGAGTCCGAATGGGAGCACCCTGAACTGGAAGTGACCGCCTTGAAAGGCGAAGCGAAGAAACCGCCTGTGGTGAGGTACAATGGGAACATGGAAATAGGCATCCTTCAGGTCGACCGACGTGAACCAGTCTCCCCTGGAAACTGCCCGAAGGACGTCTGCTGTGGTCAGCATGTGAAATGGTAACACCTTCAGGAACTTGTTTAGTCCCCTCAGCTCTAGGATTGAGTGCAGTCCATTGCCTCTCTTTTTTACAAGAAAGTAAGTTGAGTAGAACCCCCCCGGGTTGTGACAGGGGGTCCACCCTCTCGATTGCACCCTTGACCAGGAGCGTGGCTAACTTCTGGTTCAGGGCTAGGGATTTTGCTGGATCGGTGATGCTGGTCATTTTGACCTGGCTGGAGGCTGGTGGCCGGCGTCGGAACTGAAGCTTGTACCCCTGGGTTAGGGTGGACACCACCCAGGGGTATAAAGCATGAGCTGCCCAGTAGCTGATGTGCTGCTGGGAGAAATAACCGACGGCCAGCCAGGAGACATCATCTCCTGTACCCCCTGCCTCTTGAGGCTCTGGGGGGGCGACTGGTAGTCCCCAAGTTCGGAGGTTGTCTAGGGGGGACATAGGTAGGGTTTTGTGGGTAGCGGCCCGGCCTCTCAGCGGTACGCTGAGGCCTGTGGCAGCTACTGGGGTGAGCTGGGGTCTGAAAACGGCCCCGGGGGGATGAAGTAGGACCCCTAGGTCTGCGGGGTGCGGGCATGTCCCTGCGAAGACCAGAGAACTGCCGCCTGGTCTGGTTAGCTTCAACAGTCCGCTGAAGCGCCTGTATAGCAGCTGACCCAAACAGCTCACCAGGTTCCACTGGGATAGTACGGAGGGTCCTCCTACATGTCTCAGACAGGGGTGACTGCGCCAGCCAAACCTGAGTCTGTACCAGGGTGGACATCAGCCGTCCAAGTTCCCTCGACATGAGCGCAAACGCCTGCAGTGAGGCATCACTGAGGCTGGTAGCGGAAGCGTCGGAAGTAGCCTGCTGCAGAGAAGCTGAGAGGGCAAGCATGAGGTGGGAGAGGGAGTTGCCAATACGACCCATGCGCGCTGCTGTGTCATAAGCCCTGGATAACATGTCATCTGTGACCCGACATTGGGGTCGAGGGCACCTGGCATCGGGCCTCAGGGTCTCCTCAGTGGAAACTATGAGGGACGCAATAATCGGCTCAACAGCTGGCATACGGCGAGGCCAAATTTTGCCGCGTCCTGCATGGCCGCCAGGGTTCGTCCATCTGATGTAAGACAGGACAGAGTCCTGGTGTCTCTCCAGCATGCATGTAGCTCCCTCAGATATTCTTCAGAGGGAGGAACAGCAAAGGTGGTGGGGGCAAGAACACACCTGAAGAAGGCACTCGCAGGCTGGGGTTCCAGCTGCTGTGTATCTAACTGTAGGCGTGCCAGTGCCATGCGAATGACAGACCCCATGGAGCTATCGACTGCCCCTTCCGAAGAGCTCTGAGCTGAGGAATGGGAGGCAGGTCCAGAAGCATGGGAGATCCGCTCTTCACTGTACTCAGTAAAGAGATTGGCTGATGCTGCCAGTGATATAACGTCCTCTTCTGAGCCAAGCTCAGCCGCGGGTGGATCTGGTGCTTCAGCCCCCCCTACACTAGGTTGGAGGGCCAGTAGAAGTGACTTCATTTGAGCTAGCTCGGTGGTCAGCAGGTCCACTCTAGAAGACAGCCCGCTGGGTTTAGCCCTCTTGGAGGGAACCCCTGCGGTTTCTGTGGCCCTGCGCTTGGAATGGGTAGGTTGGGCTGGATTCAACTGCCCTGAAAGGGGGAGGTCGACCACACCCGTAAGGTGTTCCGCCTCGGCGAGCCTAGCAGCCCTTACTGCTCGAGGCATGACGCCACAGTTCATGCATGGGTTCTCAGAGAGGCCTTCCCTCAGATGCTCGAGGCCAAGGCAAGAGGGGCAGAGGTCATGGCCATCATCAGGCTGTAGAGGAGCCATACAGGTCCTACAGCCGGGAAAGACAAACATGGCCGACTCTCTAGGTCAGTCTGAGCGGGACGCTCTGCTGAATGTTTGTGAGAACAGGCAGGGGACAGTCAGTGAGAGGGGAGCGAGGACACTCTCTTCACTAGGACAGTCGCTGCGGATATTGGTGTCCCACCAGTTAGCTTGAGCGAGAGCACTCTGCCACTGTGAAAAACGGACAAAAAAAAGAACACAGTCCTTACAGTGAGAGGGGAGCGAGGACACTCTTCACTTGGACAGTTGCTGTAACTCTTGGTGTACCACCAGTTAGCCTGATCGAGGGCACTCTGCTAACTGTGATATCCGTAATGTTTACAAACAATCAATGGACACAGTCCGAGTATTATCTCAGTCTAGTTAGCCGGAGCGAGAACGCTCTGCTAACTGATATGGCCGTAATGTTTACAAACAATCAATGGACACAATCTGAGTATTAGCTTAGTCTAGTTAGCCGGAGCGAGAACGCTCTGCTAACTATGATAGCCGTGTAAGGAATCAATGGACACAATGTCAACGTCGATCTAGTATAACTAGCATCTCCCAAGTTAGCTTGAGCGGGAACACTCTGCTCACTGTGAATGGCGGACCGACAGCGTAACTCTACGCTCACGTTAGCACGCCACTCGATTAGCTAGAGCGGAAGCGCTCTGCAAACCGAGGAAAAAAACGAACAATGGTTATAGACAAACAATGTTAGTCGATTTCACCGATTGCTGTCTTCGCGATTTGGGTGGCCCCTATCAGACTGAGTCCGGGGCTCGATGGTCCGCATGGCGAAAACGCCGTTCCCTCCTAAGAGGGACAGCTTGTCGCAGCCTTTGGAGGGCGAAAATCCGCAACTCCGACCATTGGTCACAAGGCTACCGCGACAAACTCTAATATGTCTTGATCGTAGACAAATATATATATGTTTTTTCTACTACCATGGTAGTTAACCTGCGTAGCGAGAAGATGAAAAAGGACTGAACTCAGGATGACACCGGAACTTATAGACGACGGGGGTCATCCGAGGTCACAGGTGACTTTGTTGGTATAAATATTCGACCTGCGCATGCGCGAGACGGAAGATATCCAGTGTTAAGCACTGCCTCTGGCGGTCAGTAAGGATGAAATAGAAACCTAGTGTGCTTAAATAATGGAACTGGAACAAGATTTAACATAAGATCAGGGACAGAGTCGGCAATAGACCTTACTTTAGTATTTGATTCATTAGCAGGAGTTAGCTCCTGGGAGGAAATAAGAGGCACAACTGTAGGAAGTGACCATTATCCAATCATTTTTTATATAAAATTATATTATTACTACATACTCAAAGTACTTTACCTCGATTTTCATCACCTAGGTGACCTAATTCTGCCAAATCACCTCATTCATCACCACCTAATGTACTCATTTTAATCCCAATGTCAGTTTTACCTCCTGTTGCACTTCTTACTATTACTGCCTCACTTACCTCACCTCCACCTTACTCAATTTACTCATGGTACTTTTTTCAAACATTTACTAAATAATTTAAGTGAAGGTGTACAGATAATAATTAAAACGTCCATTCTGCAGCTGCACTATACACCTTACCAACTAGCCACCCCACATCTCCCCCCAATTTCCCAGCCATTTTACTATAATGTATAGGTTGAATGTAGTGATACCGTCATCATTGAGAGACTCCACTGACATAGCTCTGGTCCTGAAGCTGAGGGAGTCTGTAGACTGGGAAAGGATCCTGCGCAGCCCGAGGGGAGAGTCGTCATTCAAGGTCCTACAATACACACACACACACACAGAGACACACACACGCACACACACACGCACGTATATGTTTGATTGACTGGTGGTATATTTTGATACTGAAGTTTGCAGAAAGTATTTGAGACCGCACATGTGACAAGAAGTTCTCTCTGATCCTGAAAGAGTGGAAAAGGTGCCAAGGGGTGCCAGGTGTTCAGTACATCGCAAGTGAATAGGTCTTTTTAACAGAAGACATTTTGACTTGTCACACTGGGAAAACTACAGCATTCAAATATTCAAATTAATGATGGCTCAATTCTATTTAGCTGCTTTGATTTCAGGTCCCTGGTATTTTGCATGCTTGTTTACTGTCACTTCCATTGAAACACTTGAATTGAACATGAACCATGTTAGTGTTATCAGTATCACCTGTGCTTTTCCTGCTATGACAAGTCCAAATGTCTGCTGTGAGTAAGGCCAATTGGAACATGCCAAAATCCAAGATGGCGACAGCCAACCGAATTTAAGGCTTCAAAACCGCAGTCCACAAACCAATGGGTGACTTCACGACATCCACATCTTATTTACAGTCTATGGCTGAAACAAAGTCTAGCGTCACTAATTGGGTTCAAGAATTATCTTGTAATTAATTTCCCTACATTTAAAAGTCTGTCACCTGTACAATACAAACATGTAATTGTTCAACAAAGTGCACTGCTCAAATGCTGAGAGGGGTCTACAGACTGCCTTTATATTGGAACATTTCTATTGGGGCTGACCACAAGAATGTGTAGGAATCATGAATACACAGATATGAATATCCAGCTTACTTGTTTCATGCAAACATAATATAATCCAAACCAGGATAAGCCTCACAGGTATAATATACTGATGAACAATGATCTACTGTAAATCCTACAATGAAAATGAAACTAAAGATGTACCGAGCCAATTCACAGGATCAAGATCCAATATTATTGTGCTTGTGCATACGTGCTACAGTGGGGTGAGGCTGGACCATATCATTGGGTAGCTGCCTGTGCCTTAGTGTGTGCCTTACATTATGTTGTAGCTGTTGACCAATGAAAGTGAGGCTCACCCTGCAATGTTGTTGGTGGAGACACTCTTGGACAGGGATAGGCTGGAGCGTCCACGGCGGGATCCCAACAAGGACTGTCGGAAGCTGTCTGAAGGGTAGCTGGCTGAACTTGGACGCTCGCGCATTCCTGGAGCTGTGGAGTAAAAACAGTTGCAGGTAGGGAGAACAACACAAGGGAGAGTGACAAGCAAACGGGAGTAGGGCAGAAGGAGGAGAAAAAATAGGAATTGCTGAATGAGAACTATTTCAGGTAGGTAAAGGAGACTGAATATATGTGTGTATAAGAAAAGCTCTCACTTTTTGTGCGCAGCGTGACATTCTGTACAGCTGAGTTATTCCGCATTAGGGCCATCTTCTGCTGCTGTATTAACAAAGGACACAAATCTGTATGTTACATGTACAATAACATTCCATATAAAGTATGCATAAATATGTTTGTGTGTCTCACTAGAAGAAGTCTCGTTCTGAAATCCTACATTGCATCAACATTGTCAGCTAAATATTTAGCCATTGCATTGAAAATCATTTAGACACTAAGCTACAGTTTCTGTTTTCAAATACAAGAAACTCTGACAACACCAGCACTACTCTCTCCAACTCTCAATCACATTTCGTCAATTTGTTTAGGATCCACAATTAACTGGAGGAAATGTTATGAACAGATCTGCTGGCCTGTCCCCCTTCAGTGGTCTTACAAACAATCTATCAGCTTTATCTCCTAATTCAAACTGTACCTGATTTAATGTACACATGAGGTTTCCGACCTGAGAATGTGATAGTACTCAGACTTCAACATTTAAGCCTGGCGGTCTTAGCTGCTGACTGGTGTAAAACAATGTGTGCCAGCATTTCAACCTTGAAAAATGTCAAGACTCTATAAATATGTGTGTAAATAATAGAAGAGAGAAGAAACCCTAATCAATAATAGAGTTCTGATGATTTGTGGTGTAGCCTGTCTTACCCTCTGTTTCATTTTGGCGCAGTTTGGCAAAGTGTCTCGACAGCGGTTGTGGATAGTAACATTGCATGCTGGAAAAAATAGAGACATTAAGAGGACAAACATCTTATACCTCCTCTCTCGTAAACATATTTTCTTCCACATTACGGTCGCAGTTTGATAAAGTAAAGTTGTAAATTAAACTAAACTAAACAACGCTACAAAACTACCTGGTTAGCTTCAGTAAAAGACCTCAGGGCTCAGGGTTTGGCTTAAAATTACTGCAAAATAGAAACAAAACCAAACAAAAATGCTTAGTTATGTTCATGCAACCAAACTACTTGGTTCAAACAGGACACAGCCAGCATCTCTTGGGTAAAAGTCCTTTGTTTTTTTTACCCATCCACCAGCCCAACCTCCTCCCTATGCAGATTCCCACAGACCAACGCAGTTTTGTTATTTGGGAATGTAAGTCATAGATACCTTCACAGTCTTACTAAGGTAAGAAGTGACTGCACTTTTATTGTAGGGTCACCCACCTCTCACTGTGTATGTGCACTGACTATATACTTACTAGGGCAGCTGAGCGCCTCCTTGGCAGTAATACTCTTGTTGCATGCTGAACAGAGTGTGGTTCCTGACACTGTCAATGACACGAAGAGGTGACCATTGCTGTAACGTGCCTCCCGCTCCCTTGCCGCCTTCTCTCGCTCCCTCATGCGCTCTCTCTCTTTATTCTGAAAAAGAAACAGAGACTCAATGTGAAAAAGACTTCCTGTATATTTGTTAAGAGACCTCTAACCTCTGTCAGCATCAAGTTTTTACATGTGTCTAGACTGATGGATGGAGAAAAGAGGAGGTTGTTATAAAAACAGCATTACTGCTACACTGTGGCTCTGTCACACTACCCTGGGGTCAGGGCAAATTACAGCCACAGTTGTAACATCATGAGCAACTGAGCTTTGTTGACATTCACTGGAGGGCTGTTAAGCATAGTTACAGGTACAGAGATATTAAGTCACAGGAGAGCATGTCAAGCACACAGACAGGAACTGAAAGGTCAGAGACAGAAGCTGTCTGCACACTCAAAATTCACCACTGTCAGCCTTGCTGCCCGCCTTGAAGCTATCCTTAAACATGAAATAAGGACTTTTGGGAAAATTGTAGTTCTGCTTTTCGTTCCTGTTTAGTAAACTGTTGGTCAATGACCAACCTCTCTGCTTAGCAATTAGGTACACTTTGTTTTACTGTGCTTCAGAGCAGTGGCTCCCAACCTGGGGTCCGGGCCCCGCTCAGGGGGTTCACAAAGTTTTTAATAAGATCTGTTCTGTATGAACCCCAGGGCTCCCTACAATGAAGTCAGGGGTTACACATACACATTTTCCTGTCTTTATTTGTTTTGTCTATTTGTGCCTCTCAGAAAAGAAGCTCTAATGGTGATTACATGAACATTGTAAAAGCAGAAGTCAGAGTGGACAAATAACAGAAAACATTTCCACATCCTGGCTTTGAATGGCCTCTAAATTTTGATGGAACAAAGACATGGAGCAAAAAGTAAAACATTTAGCACTTCTACTTTACCAAATCCAACAACATCCATTGAGGGCCCTTTCACACCTATCTTGTTTGGTTTGGGCTTACTGACTTTTCAGTGAGTGCTGACAGTAAGTGCTGAACAAAAGATTTGTGAAACCTCCCTGGGACCATGATCCAAAGCTAACAGTGGAACCTTGGTCCCAAGAAAATAGGCGGTCTCCGTCCGGATAAAACTAAACCATGGATCTTTTCTTTTCTAGTGTGAAAGCATTTTTTGGATGGGCTTCTACTTAAAAGGTCTCAGGTTCACACTTGACGAAGCACGCAAAACCGAGCTAAACTGACACCAGGTCCTATCCTCCCGGAACGTCATCTTTTTCATCCACTATGAACACATCACCAAGCCGGAAGACATCCAGCTTTTTACAGACGCAGCACCCTCCATCAGCTTCGGCGGCCTCTACAGCGACAATTGGTTCATGGCCGCTTGAATTCTCATCTCTCACACCTTCTTCCACGATCTACGAAATGTATCCCATAGTCATAGCAGCTATTCTTTTGGGGCATGAATGGTCCAAAAAAGACCATTGCCATCTACTCAGAAAATAGTGCAGATGGCAATGTCAAACACTCATCGTACCTCACTGGACAGAACCACTTCAAAGCTTTCGCGCCTCCTATAGCCTTCCATTCCAGTCACTCGACATCCTTACCCTCACGAACTTCAGTCATTCGTCCATTTCCCTCCTTAAGGTCAAGCCCTCCAGCATACGGGTTTACATAAGCAGAAGTTACTTCTACACAAAACTGTCCTCAGGGGCTCCGTGAGCTTCTACCCACTCGAACGTTGCCGTGCTACTCGAAGGTTTCCATAAAGCTTCGCGGACAAAGTATTAAAGTCCACATTCTTGCCTGCTTCTTTCGCTGCTCCGAGTTCACCGCTTCGAACTCCAACCACCATCCGTCGCGACACGCCACCGCATCACATCCATCCTCCCGACACAGTCGTCTATCACCTCAAATGCCGCAAGACCAACCAATACGGTCCATTTGCGTCCATCTGCGACTACTTAAGCTCCTCCAAGCGAACTCCCCCTCAAGATCCCCTGTTCGTCACAGGCTAAGGGGCCGCACGGTCTCAGGTTCACCACCACTTTCGCCATATCTCAGCCCGATCCAGAATACCCCCCGAGTTTAATCGGTGCCGCCTCCACCACTTTAAGTCAAGGAATTTCCAACCACATCCTCAAGATACTTGGTCGTTGGTCTTCTCCGTGTACCTCATACATTAGTTCCAACCTGAATGACACCAGAAACGCCCATCGGCATCTGTCTTTATGAAGCTATCTTCGGGGACTCTGCACCACCAGAGCATCCGAAGAGACGGCCCCCACCCTACAGTCTCCATTCCCCCCGTTCCCGCCAGCCGCCGGACATCAACGGTCCCCCATCGATCGCCTAACCTCCTTTCTACAACCCTCCTCGTTTTTTCTTCCTTACATCCCTTCATTCCTACCCTACATCCCTCTACCTCAACCCCTCCATTGCTTCATCCCTACCCTACATCCCTTCATCTCTTCATCCCTACCCTACATTGACTCCTACCCCTACCCTACACCCCTCTACCCCTACATCCATTCATCCCTCGACCCCTTCCGCTTCTTAAATCTAACAATCATTCCATTATGCGATAAGCCTCTCGAAACTCATATTGTTATTGGCGTGGTCCTTGTTAGTGAATATGTATTAGAGCCCTGTGGTCCCCAGTCAAATCCACCCATTTGCAGCCTATGCATTTTAAATAGATAGAATAGAACAGGCTCCGATACAGACACACTGTTTCCATTTTACACAATATGAAGTTTAACTAAATTTCCTAAAATAATGATAATCTGTTTTGTTTTTTTCTTCAGATGACATTTATTACATAACTAATAATGTTTTGAGAAGAAATCAATGAACATCTTGCTTGTTTCTTACACTTATTTTTTCTTGCGGTAGTTATAGTAGTTTATTTTGTTCATTCAGTAGGTATTTCCTTGTATGTTAAATATGTTGGATGAGGGCTAAACGGTGGAAGTGCCAAAGAATTATTTGTGAATGTTGACAAAACTTTTTCAACTTCGGTGTATTCATGAGCTTTAAGTTGTAATGTGGAAATAACATGACTTTAAAGAAGATGTGTTGGATTTTACTGCTTAAACAACACATTAGCTGTTTTTGAGTTGTTTTCAGACATGAATTTTCCCAATTGGGAACTTGTTTTTTCTATTTTTCCAAAACTACATGATTGCCGCACAAATGCCCTATCTTGCACTGTCAATGAATGTGAAACAGACAATCCAAGCCGAAAATAAAACCTTCTTTGTAGAGGTAATTAACTGTATGTTGACCAATCTTTAAAATGTGTTTTCTCATTGAAATGCGATTGTGACTGTGTTGTATGTGGGTTTTGGCAGACAGCTGCTGTCTCTTTTATGGACCAGAATCCATGAACAACTCTAATTAATACCCATATACTTTGGTTTTCAATGTTCTAAAAATTCTAGTTATAGTACTTTTTTATTGTGTGTTTGACTAATTATATATAATCAAATGTATTACTGTTGTTATTGCACACAGGTGTGTGCTATATGGGTGCATTCGCCATTTGTGTTAGGTGTTCCACTTTGAGGAACTCTGTAGCAGTGAGGATGGAGTAACCCAGATTGATTCCTAAGGGGCAGCATAGCACCCTGGGTAATTTAAGTTTAGCCTTCCTGACCGACATATTACTGACAATGCCATACACAAAGAACTGACACTACAGCAATAAATACACACACATAAACATTGTGTATGAAATTAATGATTAATGGATGAAAGAATAATGATTATGATGAATTAAAATGGCCATGTGGTCATGAGAATTTTGAAAAATTAAGTCTTGTATACTACTAATATATAATAATACCTTCAAAACAGGATTTAGATGTACTCAAAAAGCAATGTTATTTTCTGATACCCTGTGTTGATGAAGATGAAAAACTTCTAAATATGTTCTATAATTAAAATTATACATTCGAGGTATATTTAGCCTTGGCTAAGTACATAAATTAAATCAATGTAGTGCTATAATTCATTGCACTGACAAAGCCTAAAACTCAGAAAACTGATAATCCCCACCTCCCTCCATAACTTGGCCATTATAAAGGGAAAAAAGTACTTATTTTGAAGTATTTTCATGGATACAGCATAGAACAATATATAACTGTACAATTAACCTAAATAGGGTCCTTAACTGTCTGCAGCCAGTTGATGTAAACCTTCCAATTTTGTTGACATTTTGAACTGATTATATTATTTTTCGGGGTTATATAATTTTAGGAGCTTGTTTTACAATAAAACGTATATAGGCTACTATTATTATTATTATTAATATTATTATTGTTGTTATCATAATCATCATCATTCATGTTATTATTGTTATTTATTTCACCATCATACATATTTAATCATATAGGTTGCCATCTAATGAGAGCTCTGAGCCTGCATTTCTTGAGCCAGTGATGGGATGTTAGGTGTGATTTTGGTAATAGCCAAACATAAGTCATTGTTAGGGAATTGCTGAGAAGAGTGACAGTGAGTGTAGTGAATGGCAAGATGAATCTAGTACATAGACTGCATATATGATGTGGATGTAGTCACTGTGATGTCATCCATTGGTTTGTGGACTAGTTTTGAAGCCTTTGATTTCAGCATTTTGGCCGTTGCCATCTTGGCTTTTTGCAACCAAAGTGACACGAGAGGTTGGAGCTAAGTGCAACCTAACGCTGAATAAAACATTTAGACAACCAAAAATGTTGCAATTATACACAAGCCAAACCTGCATATAATCTCTTTTAGAGAGAACTTGATTTGATATCCATGAGCTCATCCTCAGCTTGGAGGTACTTCCCTTCCTCCTTCACCTGTTTATTCTTTCTGTACTCCCAAGTCAACCACAGGATGTACTGTATGTCTTCTCCTGGTATAACGTGTTAATGATGAACTCATCTGTCATTTCAATAGTTTATGAATATGAAGGGTTGAGAACGTCCTTATCTGATTGGGAAGTTCAAGGAAACACACTGTGACAGCCAGCGTACCTTGGTATCTGTCTGGGGGGTCTAGTGTGCCTTGGTCTCGAGCAGCTACCCAAAGATTTGTTTGTTGGCTGGGCGAGCTTTTCTATTACCACAGTCTGTAAGGTTTCATTCAGTTTATGAGAGAGATGCTTGTATCGTGCAGTGAAACACTGCAGTAGGGCACCTTCCACTTCAAATGGCTATTGAAGCCCTACTTTTTCACTATCAATAAGGCATCCATCTGTGCAGCAACTACATTGGTGTGGGAAGATTATACTTGACAAAGAATGTATCAACTACTTAGAAAATACCATATCTTTGTGTGGTAATTATGAGATTGGCAGACATAAGAATGTCTTGTTTGAGCTCAATGTACTGTGCATACTGTACATATTGTTGGGATCTGACTATATGGCTTGCCAGCCGTGGGCCAGTTCCAGATGGACAAGTCGCCGTCACCCAGGAACATAGACAACCGATGCCAATGCCCCTCCCAGAGCCTGCTCCTGACTCTAGTCCACCCAGTCCGCCTGCATGCTTACAACCGCCAAAATCTGCCACCCAAAACCATGTCCCAAACCAGAAGTCTTCCCTTTGTTCGCTGAAAAACGCTCAGAACAAAGACGCACGACACTCTGACCTCTCCCTTGCAGTCAACCAGCCTGCAACAGAACAGGGGACACCCTGGGTACCCCAGAACAATTGGCCCCCAATTTCACAACCTTGCGCGGTGAATAATAGTAGTGCAGATTTGACCGCCCAGCAAGCACGAGATCCAGCCCTTCCAACCATTCGACAGCCGGAGTTGAAACCCACGCGAAAAGGGTCCCGACAACTACCGCTGCTCGAATCGGAAGAGCTGCGAGCTCGCCATTATGTACAACCAAACTGTAAAATGAAAAAGGGTTTTTTGGTACACATCTCTAGGGGACAGGAACCGGTCCGTTGGGCCATCCCAGCAGACCCAGGGGGGTGATGGGTAAATCCAAATCTGGAGTTAGGTAGACCATGACACAACTATCACACTAACCTACCTAACCACCTTTCCGTTTTGTTTTGTTTGTTTCATTTCTCTGCTTTCATTTTGTTTTTCACATACTATGCTACAGTGCAGATGTTATCACAAGATCATGATGTAGCAATTGAGTGTATTAGAAATAATGCCTTGCTCACCTATGATTTGTGTATATGTTTAATGTAGTTAGTTAGTCATCTGCCCAGATGCCGCCTTAGTGTCTGCCCAGACATCTTGAGCCTCTATGAACTATGAACACTGACTGTTAAACCATCCCTCTCTTCCCACAACTACATGGACTGTTTAACCTTTTGTGCTCTCAGAACTACATGGACTGTATGACACCACATGGAAGCCCATGTCAGTCCTTGGTTTGCCCTAACGACCGTGGCAAGCACCTCGCTCTTCAGGCCAAAGGGGGGATGTTGGGATCTGACTATATGGCTTCGACATGTGCTGTGGAACAAAGAGAGTCAGGCCTTCCCTTTTGCAAGCAAAGGTTTCATCCTGATTGTAGTTTGAGCACCAAACCCCCAACTCTGAAGAAATTCACATTAGGGTGTGAGTTTCCTCCCCCCAAATGCAACACTGCTCTCATTGGACGAGAGCAGGGATGCCGAGGCGGGACCTCCGGTAAGGCGACCCTGCTCCCCCAAAAAACTATGCTTCCCTGAAGTTACCTGAAAGCAGCGCTGCAATCTAATTGGCCGAGGGCCAAGACACCCCAGGACCCCTGTGGTTCAGCCACTGTTCTACAAAACTACCTGCAACCCCCACCTCAATGCTTTTTCCATCGATCCCTCCGGGGTAGCAGGAGGTACACACATGCAACGTTGTTCTTCTTTTTAATCAAAACCTAGGTCTAACAGTTTATATTCGCTGGCCAAATTCATCAAACTGTCTATTTTATCTTTGTTCGTATCCACGAAGCGGACCCTTTTATTCCTGCGGAAGTGAAGAAGCAAGACTCCTTCAGAAAGAGAGAGAGAGAACTTCCACTCTCCACCAAGCACCTCGTCTGCTCTGGCCATAAGGACACGAAAATCCCTTACACAGACGACAGCGATTCTCTCCTACCGAGAGAACACCTCCCACAGCCCGCAGCCCGAGCCCACTGAAACTCAGAAGAACCCCCCTCAATCAACACGATTGCGTCGTACCGTAAGGCGAAATAGATTCTGCACAGAGTTAGAGAGAGTTCATTTGTGTTTATTTTATCTTGTTTGTGTGCTTAAAGTACTGTTCATTTTTATAACGTGGTATATGCTTTATGATCACCGACACTGGCGATCCCTGAAATTGCTGGTGTTGTGTAGAAGTTACCGTGTATTCCATGCTACTGTGATTCGTGTCGAGACAGCCGCAGTGAGGTCGGGGACTGCATCTCAGGTCAGAGGTCGGAACCGCGTCTGTGACAAAGAGCCCGGTTCTTGCTCCTCTGGCTGGGAGAACAGTTTACCGAACTCCAGCGCGGCGCGGAGGATCTTAATCTTTTGTTTTATTTCATTTTGTTTTGTTCCTTTCCCTTCTCTTTTACTAATCCACACACACACACACACACACACATATAGCTTTGAGCTAATGTAGCTACGTGCTAAACGGCTACCGGCACGTATAGACGCCGGGTCTTCTGTTGGCTATCTGCTATTTTGAGTCTCGCGCATGAGAGACGTCACCACGTCCCAACTACGTCATACGTCGCTGAGCTGTTCCCTCGCTCCTCCCCCTCTTTTCAATAGTCTGTTGATTTTAGATAATGCTCATAAATGTATAGTTGTTAGTTTAGATATTAGTTGACTAGATCATTAGTATTAGAACGTAATAAACTCTGTTATATTTTAAAGAGCAGCTGTCTGTGATTACTTTGTGCATGTATTGTGATAATAGCTGTATATGTGGTCTGTGCTCGAACTTAAACCTTCACTTTCACTCTGAATGTGTAATAGTACTCAGACTGTTGACATTGTGAGTGAACACTAATTATGAGACTTAGTTTATCGTTTGGTTATTGGTCCCTGTTCGCAGGGTGGTGCCCCGTTATTATTAATAATCATTAATAATTGTTACTGACATTAATAATTCTATTGATGCCAAGAATTTAGTTTCTTAGATGCTGATAACTCAAACACGCTCCTTTACGTTCCCAACATATTGCTGATAACCCGTGTGAGGCTATGTTATTCCCAACAATATTGTAGGAGTATTGCCTCCCCTGCCGCAGTGGTAGTTTCATCCAACTGGATGGTTTTGTGTCTCTGTGTTGTTGGGTACAGTCTTACATTTGTCAGCCATCTGAGGTCCACACCTTCCATTTCATTGCGAGCCTGTTTGGTCATCGTTTCCCAGATGTTGTGTGGCTTTCTGGCTTGCATAACTTATTATTTCCTTAGAAAGAGCACTGAAATGATGCAACAGTTGCCAACTTCTGGTTACTTCCAGTCCTTGCAAAACGGTTTCTTATGATCTGGGGCCTGATTGCCATCACAAGTTCCTGTTTTTGTAGGAAACCTACCATCTCAGGGTATTTAGTAGTCTGGTGTTTCATAAAGCCAAGATTGATATAGCTGTCCTGGTAAATCCACTTGTTCTTTTTGACACCTTCTCCCTGACGCTTAGCCATTGCTGCTTTGGCTATTTAGTTTTAACCACATACTTTTGTAATGCAGGACTAAGCTATGTAGCTAGCTTGCTACATTAAACAGAATGAAAGCTCAGTGAATATGGCTGTAATATCTACAACGTACCCCTTTTCTTGCAAGAAGTTCATATCTATATATTTTTTTCTAAATGGACAAAGATATAAACTTACAAAAAATAACATTTGTCCTTTTCTTCGCTGAAATTTTTTTTTTTCTTTCGCCCCTTCTATTCAAGAGGTCCTTGCGAACCCCTGTGAAGCTTTTATAGCAATAGTTTGTTGATATTATCTACTATGTATATCCATCTTAAAGCAGAAGCTCAATACAGTCTTGGACCTACAGGCAAGGCTCATTAGGAATAGTTAAGCAGTGGATTTTGTCTTTTTATTTATTTATTAAGCTCAGACAACAAATTATATCATAGTCCAACATTAATTTCAGCTACAGTTCATTTGTTTATTTTCAGATTACACATATTAGTAGAGGGAGAGAGAGAAGGACCGGGTGCAGCAGGTGGAGGGTGGAGATGGTGTGCAGCTGGTGGCTGTAAATTGGGGGACCTTGGTAAATCAAGCACATCACATGATCAGTTTTTTAGTTTTTTCATGTGTGTGACCATCTCTAATGCACAGCTTTCAAATGTGAATGCACATCTGTACTTTTAAAACTAGTGCCACAGTAAATCCAGCACTGACTACTTTTTTATATATTTATTTATACACATTTTTGAGGCCTGCAACATTCTCAAAGAAAGCAGTAATATTACAACACACACCCACGGCCATTTCTATGGCAACAGTTGCTATAGTCAAATATCCAGTGAGAAACCACACTGTGTACAAGCAAACATACATACACACCACCACCTACATTCACAAATACATAGAGACTTATCCTGTATATCTAGAGAAGAAATGCAGTGATATCAGGGCCCGTGGCCTGAGAGGCCTGTGCTCCTGTCGTAGAGAGCAGGCCCTGTGTCAAATTGAGGAACTGTATTATGACTGTGAGTGCAAAAACAGGAAATGACACTGATATAGACAGAAGGGGGAAGTGACAAAGACAGGAAAATAGAAAGTCTACAAAGTACCATTTAGTAGTAATCTCTAATTATCTGTCCTATTTAAACACTGTGTGGTTGGCGGGACCGAAAGAGAATCTGATGGTAATGTCTTTAATGTTACACTGAATGATGAACATAATGCCAACTCACCCGCAGGTTGATCTCCCTTATCCTCTCTTGTCGCAGCTTCGACAGATTGGCAACTCTGGACATTGTGACAATCTGAAAATAAAATATCCAATATAAGCGTTCGTATACTTCTCTGGATCCCTCAGATTCCCACCAAAGAGGGGAAGAAAGCTCAAAAAAATCTTCCCTCACTGGCCAACTGCAATGTGCTTCTGCTTCTAGTGAAGTGACTGTTCCTGTGAGAAATCTGACTTCTGAATCATCACCGCCCCCTCACACACATGCACACAGTATTCTGCTGTGTGTGAATGCCTGGTATAGATGATTATCTGCTCTTTACTACATCCCAATATGAAACCATTTACAAAATGCTAATATTTTATAGCAGCATTTCATACTGAGAAAAGAAAAGTTTAAGTTAATACACATTTAACAAGACGAAAGCTCAAATTGCAACACAATCATCCAAAAGTATTTAGCTCCTTTTTTGTAAGGTTATTTACAAACATGTGAGACCTGAAAGGTGAGTGGTCTGTTGTTCAGTCGTTACTATTGAGGGGATTGATTGCAGTTTTTAACAACTGGTAACAGGCACACGTTTAAATCATGAGAGACTTAATTGCTTCTCCTCTCTTTGTTCACATAGCCGACGAGTTGTGCTTGTAGTGCATGTTAGTGCATTAGCTCTCCACTGCACTGTTAGCGCTGTTAGCACCGTTAGCTATGAACCGCAGGCTCAACATTGACATGTGGGGAGCCACTGAGAAGCATTGATTAGGACCAGAAATAAGATTCAATGATTCAAAGATTCAAGGTCAATTTATTGTCATTATGCAACACAGGGTTGCACAACACAATGCAGTTGTAACCCATTTGCTACACAACAAACCAAAACAGTAGTGCATTCCCGTGCATTTTTTTAATTTGTTTAAGTAAACAGCAGCAATAAAACTACTCTCTGGGCAATATGGACCAAAAATCAACATTCAAAATTCAGCATCAGAGAAAAACTGTCCATCAACTTTGACTTTGTTTGGGCACCGAGCATCATTGATGTAAACAGAGCCCACCTCTTCTCTTCCAACCGGAGTCCTGAGCTCTGTCCTGTGCTCTACCCGTCAAGTGCAACTTGATCCAGGATGCGACGATGGAGCAATGTCTTTGTAAAGCCGTGGGCCCTCCCGTTGCTGGGTTAGCCTACATTTTCCTATGACCTGATATCATCCAGAAGTCGTTGTTGGAGTAGTCTTATCCTAGCTGAGCTGGCTTACATCGCGGCTCTCCTCCCCTCACCTCTGCTTTCAAATGCACTTGGTCTGGTAGGTTTTGCTGGGGGTTTGTCCATCTCATGACTCGTTCCCCTCGAATTAATCCAATCCTTAGATTCCTTCAGAATCCCTTTCTGAAGTTTGATAAGCGTCTTACGCCATAACTGCTACAGTAATACACATGAAAAGACACCAAATTAAAACAAAAATGCAGTAAAATTTGACTATGATTATGGACTAATAACTAAGGTCAGGTATGACTATGAATTACTAGATAAGGTCAGCTATGACTATGAACTGATGAATAAAGTCAGCTATGAGTATGAACTAATAAATAAGGTCAGCTATCAGTATGAAATGATGAATAAGGTCTGCTATGAGTATGAACTAACAAATAAGGTCTGCTATGAGTATGAACTTATAAATAAGGTCTGCTATGACTATGAACAAATGAATATGGTCAGCTATGACTATGAACTAATAACTAAGGTCAGCTGTGACTATGAACTGATGAATAAGGTCAGCTATGACTATGAACTAATAA